AAGGAGCGATAGTGAAGGCAGTCTAAAAACAAACTAAGCGTTTTTTTTTTTTTTTTTTTGTTTGGCTAAAAACTTCTCTCTAATCAGCTAGAAAAAAAATTTAGATGCACTACTACTTCTACTATCTCTTTGTTCTTCAAAGAGATGGTACAAAATAGTAGATTATGAGAAATATTGGCCAAGAGTATTTCAGTAAAGAAAAATTTAGAAAAAAGAACAAGTTATCGAAAATTGTCAAATTCATGCAGGAAATTCACCATATTTTTCATCATGTAAATTTAAAAAATCTAGTATTAATAATATCATTTCCTGTTGAATAGTTCAATTCATAATATCCGATGAGAATCGTCAAGAAGAAGTAGACTATATATGAAAAAGTAGGTATTCATCGCAAGTGCAACATCTACCAATGTAATATTAATGCATGGATATGATATATTTTTCACTAACTGAAGCATGGTGAGATAACTATTGTGTTGTAAATGTAGAGAAATAGTACCATTCAACATATGTTATTTCCCTTCTGAACTTTAGATGAATGGATTCTATCTTATCCATTACATGACAGAATTTCTTAAAGCTATCAAGTGAAAATTTAAAAATCGATAACCAGGGTTGAAGCTAGATAATAATGTTATTTACATAGATAATAATTTATGGTGTTTGCCTTTTATGTTCTTTGGTTTCTCATTTCTGTATTTTCTATTTTTCTTGTTAAGAGAAGTTGTTGTATATTCTAAAGGGAGAGTTTTTAGTTCTGAGCCAGATGATTGGTTCTCTCCAAAACATCAGGTGCTACATTTAGGCTTCAGTCTCTATCTAATGAGCTATCATATAATAATCCAGAAGTTGAAACACAAAATGCAAGCGGCTCACACTGTTTTAAAACTCAATCCATCCACTTTAGATCCTAAATTCTCTTTTTAATCTTTTCATTTGTATTTGCACATCCCCATCCCTGTCCGCTTTTTTTGGAGCTCAGTGTTTTCTTAGCTGGTATTTGAGCAATTTATGATAGAAGACACTTGGCAAACCAGATGGAAAAACTATATAAGAACATGAATTACCCAAAAAGGGAAAAAAGGAAAAAAGGAAAAAATCTAGAACAATAAACAATAGAAACGAAGAACAAACAAAAGTAACTGGGAGAGAGATAATACTAACATGAACAATATAAGACCCAACAGAAAAGTCAATGAACGATGAAAGCTAGAAGGACTGAACTAAAGAGAATTCTAGATGAAAATGAGAATTAGACGAAAAAGTCAAATGGACAAGTGAATATGCTGTGCAATTTTTGCATTAAAAGACACGTAAGTTACGTTAAAACACTATAAAAGCTCAGAAATTGCCTCACATTAGAATTAAATACCAAAAAGATGAAACCCCCCCTAGGGTTTTTAGGTTTCTTTTAGCACAAGAAGTAAAAATTAGGAGAAAAAAAAAATATAAGGGAGAGATAATTAGAGGGAAAAAAAAAACCGATATGGCAAAGCGAACACAGGTCATACCTGAGCTCGTCAACTTTAAAGCACTCATCATCAAAACCATGAACATACAGAATCGAGTAGAGAGAGAAACACACAAGAAGAAAAGAAGCATTTGAGTTATCTAGATGTTTCTGCAAATAATCAGCTAATAAGCATAACGTCTAAATTGCCTTTAAATATTAATTGAAATGACATATTTGCCCTTGGTCGACCAATTTGGCTCTTCTACGGTAATAGAAAAGAAAAAAACCTCTTACTGAAATTTATTAGCTGCCACAGAAAAGTGAAAAACTAACACAGAATTGAAGAGAAAAAGCTCAAAATAGTCAGATACTTTTGGAATTGGACTCAAAGTAATCCTATTTCTTTCGGATAGAGCATTAATAGTCCATATATTTTGAAAAAGTGGTGCATTTTAAGTCTCAAACCTAACCGCTCTTAGTCTTCTAACAGAGACATCAGAATATGCACTTGATATTTCCTTCCAAACAAACAAACTCCTCTCTATATCTTAAAATAAAATAGACGACATCCTCTCAGTATCTGTCACGACCCAACTGGAGGGTCATGACTAGCACCCGGGCCATACTTTTCGAGCACCAACGTACATTTTATCTAACCTTCCTTATTATCTTTAAGGGCCGACAAGATCAATATAAATAGTAGACATGGATCATGAACATCCAACAATGAAAGATAATGTCATGAACATACATAACATGGGACGACAAGACTGTCAAGAAACTATATATAA